TCGGTTCATAATTAGAGAAGATATCGAATATATATAAATTTAACTTTGATGGTCTATAAAACTATACATTTGTTGACCAAAAGACATATATCACAAGTCATAGAATTGAAAGCTTTATATGTGGTATAAATTTTTTCATAATCGGAGAGTTATACCTATAATATATTTAAGCCTTTTAATTTTTTCCTGATTCGAAAAAAAAACACAGAAAAAAGGTACGAATTATCAAAAAATTTCGGAAATATTTTTTGTTGAATTCTAAAATGTTCATTTTAAAACATATTCGAATGACACAATTGAAAATTTAAATTCTATTATAAAAGATGGGGGGTATATTTATTTTGTCCTTTCGTTTGTAACACATCGAAATATTGGTCATAGACCCATAAAAGTATATATATTCTGGGTCCTTATTAATTCTAAGATGTTCTAGCCATGTCCGTCTGTCTGTTGAAATCACGATAGGGCCCACAAGGGAGGAGCTAGACAGTTGAAATTTTCATAAATATTCTCTATTGCTAAGGTTTGTTTGGTATCGAAAATGTGCAGTATCGGTCCACGTTTTCGGATAGCCCCCATACAAGTGGACTTTCAAAAAACAGCTTTAACGGGCGTAACTGATTTAGAAGTACGAGTATAGTGATGAAATTCGACATAAATAGGATTGGCCCATAAATGACCCTACCACCCATATAAGGTCCCCTTCTGAAAATAACTTCAACGCTCAAGGTTTAAAAATATGAATATAGCGACGAAATTCGACACATATAAGTTTTATGCGAGCCAAAATCTCTCTACCAAATTTAGTGAGGATCGGTCCATAATTGACCATACAAGGTCCCCTTCAGAAAATTACTTAAACGATCTTTGCGGGCTTAAAAATACGAGATATGAAATACGGTTATGATATTCGACATAAGAAACTTTAATACGGACGTTAATCTTGCTACCGAATTTCATGCGGAATATGGCGGTAATTCATCCTACCCCGTCCCCTTTAGAAAATTACATTAACGCTAATTACTGGCATAAAAATGCGAGTACATCGATGATAGATGAAGTTATGAGGATAGATCAATAACACTGTAAGTATGTCAAAAAGATACAGAAAAACTCCGAGACACCTAAACTTAATTTTGGGTCGTAGAATCTAGTGGCATACTCCGTTTTGAAAAGTAGGGTCAAAATCGGGAGATATTGCGTTTTAAAGTATGAAATTTTATTTTTTTAAATTTTGAAAAAAGTTTTCACGCATAGACATACGAACTAATTATGAAAAACTAAATATATATGTATGCATAATAATTCGAATGGACTCTTGTTTCATGTATTTATTTACTTTTATATGCGTGTGAGTTTTGTTTTTTAAATTTAAATAATCAAAAATCACCTCAGAAACAGTTTAAACTTTAAAATGCAATATCTCCCGATTTTAACCCAACAAAACGGAGTATGTCACTAGATTCTACGACCGCTTAAGTTCAATTATTACGTTCAAATATTAATTAAGTTCACGTGTTTCGGCGTTTTTCTGTGTCTTTTTGAAAGTTGAAATTTTACTTACAGTGTAATTGACCATACCCCTCATATAAAGTCCTCTTTAAAAATTTGATGGGGAGGATTCAGAAAATTACTAGTACAACGATGAAAATCGACATAAAAAAGTATATACTTCGGAACATAATTCTTCATTCCAAATTTAATGAGGACTCATCTATAACTGACCCTAGCCCCTATCAAAAGTTTCCTTCAGGAACGAGTTTTGGTTATTAATATACGAGTTTTCCTTATTTAAAATACGAGTATTGCGATGAAATTTGACATAAACAAGTTCTATACAAAACAAAATCTATATACAAAATTTTAAGAGTATCGGTTCATAATTGACGCATATAAAGGTCCTCTTCAGAAAATTACTCATACGCTCACGGTTTAAAAATTGAACAAAAATTAATATTTTGTTAGATCAATAGAGCTCGGTCCATAATTGACTTAAGCCCAGTGTTGCCACTTTGGTTATTATTAACCAAAATTGGTTATTTTTATTTTGCATGTGTACATGTAAATTATTTTTTCGTTTTGGTTATTTTTTGCAAACAATTGAACTAAATGCTGTTTGCTTTTATTCTAAAAAAAAATTAAAAAAAACTTCTTTTATCTCTAGTTTTAAATCAACTATGTAAATATACATATCGTCCTGTTTTGAATTTTGGTAATATGTGGATTTTTTTTTTTTTTTTGGTGCATCCATGAACTTAAAATCACTTCTTGGGTCGATTCAAACTCGTCCGTCCTTCCTTTAATATTTCTTTTGGAACTTTTTATGTAAAGAACTCGCGATACTTGTATGAAAAAACGAAGTAGGCTGTATTTCGCATTTCGATTTTTATGGAATTTGGTGGGAATAGTCTACGTACTTAGTAGATTATGTCCTCCAAATTAAATTTAAAATTTAAAGTGTAATTCCAACTTCTATACCTATTTGAAATTTTGCATAAACAGATACTGTGCTAATTTCCGAAATTCTAAGATAAATGATTTAATAAGAATTAATAAAGTATTTTCTGCTAATTGATGCAAGAATAGTATCACAATATCTTCAAAGTATTAATCAACTGATATTTTTAAGTAACACAGCTAAGGAAAATGAAATTGTATTGTATACAAAAGTTGTAACAACATCTAAACTCGTACGAAGAACAATAATCGCGATATATGCAAAGATTTGATACTCATGACCTTTGACTTCTACTATCTCACCATGACTTTTAGTTCTTTATTTACATTTTCTTGATGAAGTTGTATACTAGTTTTTATTTTACCGTCTTAAATTCTGAATTTTGGTCAATTTGTCGGATAATTTGGATAGATTACGTTTACAAATATTGCTGAAGTTATGAATGTAATGCTAACATCCGCTACATGGTATTATAATTTGGTCAAATATACCCCTTAAATCCAAATTTCGAACGAAATCTCCAAATCTGTACATAAAATGGGAAGAATTTTATAATTTAAAATTGTTTTCCAAAAAGTCGTATGTAGAGTATTTCTGAATTGCGCTAAAACGCGTTAAAAACTCTGTTATTTTTTAAAATAAATATTAATTACATTTGTTAACGAATCCGCGAAGAGACATATATTTATTGTTGAAAACACGATAGAGTCGAAAAGAAACAAGATAGAAAACTGAAATATTATGGCAAAATATTTTTAATTGACCCAGTTTGATTGGTATTGAAAATGCGAAATATCGGTCAACGATTTCACCTAGCCCCCATATTGCCCTATTCAGAAAATTACTATATTGCTTAAAAAAGCATCTATAGCGATGAAATTCAATATAAAAAAGTTTTATTGGAAATGTATTTGTCAAAGTTTATGAGGATCGGTATATAATTGACTCTATCCCTCATAAAAAGTCTCCTCAGAAAATGACTTTAAAGCTCATAATGTACTGCAATATAGCAACAAAATTCAACATAATCAAGTTTTAAAGGAACTAAAATATCTCTGTCAGATTTTATCAGAATTGGTCCATAATTGACCATACGTCTCATATAAGATCCCGTACAGAAAATTACATTAACGCTCATAACTGTCTTCATAATACCAGTTTAGCGACGAAATTAAACATAGTTACAAGTTCCACTTCAGAAAATGAATTTGTTATTTTAATGTCCAAATGTAAACATGAAACAAATAAAAATAGTTTTGTTTACTTTTTTCTTAATTTGGTTATTTTTTATTCGAATTTTGGTTAGAAAAAAAATTTTGTTGTGGCAACACTAGGGTGATCGATTATTCGACATTTTCCAAAAACCGGTTTTCGAATAGTTCGAATAGTTGACATTTCAAAAAAACCGGTGATATTTTTCAAATTCAGAAAAAACCGGTTAACCGGTTTTTCATAATAAATAAAAAAATATATGTTAATTTGAAGAAATTAATGTTTATGTTTAAATTTGATTAATAAAACATGGCCCGAAATGATTTTTAACAGTTTAACAGATTATAACTTTAGATCTAGTCGTCTGATTTACATTATTTCTTTAATATAAAAAAAAATTAGGAAAAAAAGTGGACACTTCTGTTAAACATAAGGTACTATGTAATCCTAGCTTATTCTAAAGCCCTTTTAGGAAATTTTCATAGGCATTCCAACACTTCCACTTCAGCGGTAAATTAATTATTGTAATTGGAATATAATCTTAAGATTAATAAAATTTTATTAAACAGTTATCAATTTTACAAATAAAATTTTTAATTAATTAGGAAAATCAAAAAAGTTTAACCAATGGTGCTTTAGAAAAATATATCCTAGTTCCTGGACTCGAATATTTTTAAAATTTAAACGGGCTGTATTATTATTTACTTCAAAATTTAATTTAAATAATCTTTGAATACAAAGCAAATAAAAGTATTCGAAACCGGTTTTTAAAAAGTGAAAAAACCGTGTTATTCGATATTCGAAAAATCAACATTTAGAAAAAACCGACACTGGTAAAGCAGAAAAAACCGGTTTTAAAACCGGTTGAAAAATCGAGTCGATCACCCTAGGCAACACTGCTTAAGCCATATTATCCCTGATGTTTATAGGGGAGCATTCCTTTTACGGCATATGGTTTGATGGTGGGTATATGAGATTCGGCACAGCCGAATATAACACTCTCACTTGTTTAGTTTTAACGTCAAAACATCGATGTGTATGAACGGTGTTTTCTAATATATGAAATGGAGATAAGGAAGAATTTACGAAAGTTCGACAGAAATACATTGACAAACTTCAAAAGAGACACGCAAAACTCGATTTCATCCGAAACCGCTTCAAACCCAAAATCGTTTTGTTTTAGTTATAAGATTTAATTATTTATTTTAAGGCCTAAAAATATAGTTTGAATCTATAATTTAAATGAAACGTAAAAAATATTTTACTTAGTTGGGAATAGTGACTCAAATTTGTTAATATGTACCAGATAAATCAATACACACACAAATTCTTAAGAGTTAAGAAAATAATCATTTTATTTTAGTTGTATTTTTCAGTCATGTGTTGTATAACGTATGTGGGTAACTACATTAAATAATTAATATATTAAATACATATTTATAACTTAAAGTATTATATATATTACAGTAATAATATTATTTTTCAATATGAAATAATTGAAATATCTTTTAAAGAAATTAATAAAATTGAAGATAAACCTTTAAAATTTACTTCTTTGAAATTTGTTTTCTATATTTAAAACTTAGTCGAACTTAGAATAATTGGTAGTGCTTATGGTGATCGAGGTTTTAGTGTGAGAAGAAATGTATCAGGCGGCACAGCTACACAAGCCGGATATGTTTTTATTTGTGATAAATCTTTGCTTGAAATATCGAATTTGTGCATTATATTAGCAAGCATTATAAATCCGAATCCCTTTACCAAGTTCTGACCAATGCATGTTCGTTTTCCAATGCTAAATGGTAGAAAATGTGGTATATTTTTCTTAAGTTGAACGTGTTGCACATTTTTTGTAACTGGATCAATTTTGGGTGGATTAAGTGGTAAAATAAATCGTTCAGGATTGAATTTTTCTGGTTCATTCCAGTATTTAGGGCTGGTGTTTAACTCATAATTGTTGATGAATACAATTGTGCCCTTGGTCACGCCATAACCTCCAATTGCAACATCTTCAGTTGCAACGTGTGGTACAATAGGCGACGAACAGTATCTTAATACTTCATAAATTGTTCCAACAGTATATGGCATGTTATCAGTGTCCATAAGAGAAATAAATCTTTGATTTTTACTAAGGATATTATCCACTTCCGCCTGAATTTTTTTACCAGTTTCGGGGTTTTTAACTATATAAGCTAACGCCAACATTACGAGGTTTCCTATAGCAGAGTGGCCACCAATAAAATCTTCCAACATATATATTATAGTATCACGAGATACGTCATCATTCTCGCCAAGACTTTTTAATAACGCATCAGTAAAATCTCTTTCTGGCGCTTCAGCGTCAACATTTCTTTCTCTATCATTTATTATACGTTCTAAAATAAATTTTCGAATTGTATTCGACCAATGAACAATCTTCTTCATATGATTTGCATAGAATGGACTTAGCCATGGTAAAAAATCTACAGCATATCCTTGGTTAATCTCCCAAAATATTTCATCAAAACAACGTACTATATATTGAAATTCTTTATCATCATAATCAAAACGAATGGAGCACATATACTGACTGAACATATTAGCACAAGTTTGCTGAACTAGAGGCTTTAATGCAATTTCCTCTCCATCCTTTTTCACGGTAGCACTTAAACGATCTAAAAATTCTTGCATTTCATAGCAACCAACATCCGACATTTTTTGATAAAATGAAGTTGCGTCGCGTGGAGAACAGTGTTTACGAGCTAAATTTCTGCGTTTTTGCTGAAGTTGGGACCAATCACAAAGGGCCAATGCTAGAAAAAAAGGAAAATAAAATCATGCAATTTAATTACCGGTAATATGAAATAAATATAATTTAAAATGGAAAGCTTATGCTTTTCAAGAAAAATTTTACTTTTTTAATTTAAATTTTTGTAATCTGAAGACTAAAAATAAAATGATGTGATCTAAAAACTGATTAAATGTATAATAGGTAGGAAATTAATATTTTATTATTTAGTTATTGAGTTATTTTTAAATCATTCCTATTTATTTCTTAAAAAATAATTATATTTTTAAATAAAAATACAATTTGGCATTGATTTTTTCTTATAAATGTAAAAAATGTGGTTTGTCGGCAGTCGTTTTATTTTATTTCGTCGCCCTCCCTTTTTAATTTGGTTTGTCAACAGCAGTTAAATTTGTAAATAACCTGTAAATGCCCTACAAAAATAATTGGAGTATAAAATCTATTTAGGTTGTCCCAAAACCTGTAAACATTATTCGAGAACATGATTCGTTTAGCAAGTCCTATGTAATGCAGGCATGTGTCATGTTTATTTTATTTATTTTTTTAAGCCCAAATTACATAGAACCTTGCTGCGGATCATGTAGACCCATAATTTATCGTGGAAGTTGTTTTGGAATTACTCCGATGTTATACATACATTTTTATCTGGGGCATCACAATGTTAAATAGACTACATATGTTTTTTTCCATATATTTGGATTTTTTTGGACCAGCCCTAGTCCTTTGAGGAGTACTCTTTACATGAGTGTGTTGTAGTCTCATTTTTTGCAGGGTTGTGAAATGTTTATGCTCTAATTTGTAGACCCTCATTGTCTCATCAATATTATCAATTATTTGACTTTTTCAAAAATCGGTTTTCGGATTTTCAGAAAATCCACATTTATTCAAAGGAAATAAATAAAAGAAACAAAATGTACGTTTTTATATAAAAGGCATTTAAAAAAACAAAGCAAGGAATATAATGAAATATTAACAATAATTATTAAATTTTACATTTTCAGTTGTATTCACTAATTACCCATCCAAAAAATCAATACTTATAGGGGCATTTATAATTTGAAGACAACAAAATAGTTTGATACACACCATGTTTTTGTAATAGAATTAAATACAAATGAGTATAATCAGTTTAACAAATTCTGTGAGAAATTGTAGTTTTGGATCTAGAGCCATTCAAGGTCTTTCGGAATTAATTTCTCAGATTAAAATATGAAAATATATTAAATTATGAAGAGTTTGGACCTTTTTTAAAATACTATTTAGCTTCTTTTTCTGAAGTTCACTTCCAAAAAAATTAGATAAAGATTGGGTTAGGTACTGATCTGTGGCATTGCTGGGATATATACAACTTTCGGAAAACGTGAAAACATCCCAGCAAAAAATCTAAAATTGTTGGTAATAGCCAGTAGTTATTTCATACATTACTTGGTAATGAGTGTTCATTATCATCCACATTATTTCATTTAGCTGAATAGGTTATTACTGGTAAAGAACTAAACAATTTGGATTTGTTACAGCTCAATTGTCTAGGACGTTCATTTAACAAAAAGGTTCGTGGTTCAAGCCCTGCTGGATACTGTTTATTTTTTTTTTTTTTTCAAAATGACATTCATTTACATATTTTTTTAAAAAGCCGTTCTCAAAATTACAAAAAGCAACATGTTAATGGAGCATCAAGTAAGCGGCTGGAGTGGGAAACATAGAGAACAACTGAATGCCTGAGTTCAAATCCCGGCCGAGGAATTTTTTTTATTTTTTGTTTTCTACATACAAAGTCGGCCCAAAATAACTAGCTATCACATAACATATTTGTAGGTTTATTTGTAACTAGTTATTTCGCAAAGTTTTTGTAATCAAATTAGTAACCATTTATTAATTTGTTTAAGGTAGGTACATATTATTTGAACCTCGTCGAACAAAAATAATTAGTTATTCACCCCAAAAGTAATTAGTTTCCACGTGATTCCAATATTACTTTCTAGATTACTAGGTAATGAAAATTTTTGCTGGGATGTTGTGTTGTTAAAGCATTTGAATAAAAAATCCCAAAAAACAGACAGTAAAATTTAAAACAAATATATATATATATTTTTTGTTTTTAATTTTTAAGAATAAAATTAAAAAAGAAATGTTTTAAAAATATACAAAAAATAAAAAGTACAACTCGAAAATATGCCTTAAATTTCTACAAAACTCAAAACACGTTCGATGCCAAAATTGTTAAAGTGGTCTGAAATGTATAAATATCTTATCCATGAGTCCATACGACGAACCATAAAAAATATGTATTTGCATATTTTAGTTTCCCTGGTTATGACTAATGTAGAATCTGTTGACTTATAACGCTTAATATGATACAACGTCGATTGTGAATTGAGCAAATGTGTGTTTGTTGTGATAACAAGCAAATTATCTGAAACCCTTCAATGCGTTAGTATTAAATAAATATGTGCATAAATTTACCAACTGATTTGCGGTTGTATTTTTTTATTTATTTGCCCCTTTCGTTATAAACCGTTAAAAAAATATTCGTTTTTAATGTATATTGTCTGTTTTTTTGCTATTAAACTTGTTTCATTGAAGAGAGGCATCGTTTTCATGGTTTTTCTATAAAATTCTTAAGGAGCACATAATTATGTACATACATTAATATTATATGTATATATGTATGTAGGCAGGTATTATATAATGGACAGCTTAAGCGAGAAACATACATACATATTAATATTTATCGAAAACCGGTGACTTATCTAGCAATCTAATGCTGCTTACCAAGAAATGCTAATGCCTTTTGTAGCGTGTTTAGAAATGTGAATTTTATTATAAATTTATGTGCATTCGTACTAAGTATAGTACACAAATACAAGTACTTGTTATAATATACATACATACGTATGTATGTATGTATATACATATGATTGTATGTACATGTTTATGTACATTGTGAGGAAATTAATGATTTGTACTTTTAAAAATCTTGAGCAGAATAATTAAGATATGCTTGGTTGATATTATGAATAAATCATTAAGTTTATATGTTTTGTTCTTCTAATGATTTAATTTTTTTATGAATGATATGATTTTGCTGTTGATGGTGCTAAAACGCTAAATATGTATGTTGAACTATTTATGTACAGTCGATACAAACCAAACTCGGACACTAATGACAACGCTTTAAAAGTTAATTTAACAAACAATCTTAAGAAAATGGTTTTAACATTAGTCGGTAATATTGGATCAGGATAATGTCCCGAATGTCCTCACTTCACGAAAAAATGAAGAAGTCGTTGGATTCTCTTAACAAAAACAGCTCGGATGAGTGAAATGGGATTAAAAAAAATTGTACATAATTATTGGCAAAAATTAGTCATCTTCATCCCAAACAGACTCTAATTTGTCATATAAAATTAAATAGTAGAAAAAATATAAATTTTTTTAATAATTTTAATTTTATAAACAATGAAATTAAATGTTGTATGTATTTAATCCCATTATGGGACTATAAAGCCCTTAAAAGAAATCGTATAAGCTTTCTTTTGAGCAAAAAATAAGGGCCATTTTGAAAAAAAATTTTAAAAAATAATGAAATTTTTTTTAGTAACAATGAAGAAATAGCTATCTGATCTCCTTTGGACAATTTTTGTTAGGACCAATAAGTGAAAAGTTATACTCATTTGAATAAAACCCTGTATGACCAAAATGTCCAACTTTGACCCCCTCTAAGTCCGGCAGTCTGGTATACTATCCAATAGTACTAACCTTGTTGCAAATTTCATCTAAATCGGAAGACATCGATTTTAAAATTGGGTCACTTGACACGAAATTGCCCATATGCATATAAAATTCTAACGTAACTGACTGACTGAATTACTGACAGATTCATCATTGCACAGCCTAAACGGTTGAAGCTAAAGAGGTGAAATTTGGAAGGAGGTTGGTGTCCCACCAAATAAATCCACTAAGATGGAAATTCGAATGTTTAGGGGGTAAAAAATAGCAAAAACGGGTAAAAAGATACTAAAACAGTTTAAAGCTTATCGTCGTTCATTAAAAAAAAGAAGCGGACAGGTGTCTGATAATTTTTTCAAATTCGGACCCTTTAGGGAATATATAGGTAAAAATTTGTATTTTGGAACTTTTTTGCACCCATGTATCATTTTAACCAGTGAACATTCAAGCATTAAGCATATAGAGCCCGGATTAAGTGAGAACCTATAAAAGGGACTTTTTGGCACTTTTGCGTTCTTCAACTGGTACTTTTTGAGTTTTCTATTATAATTACGGTGACCAGACGTTCTGTATTATACAGAACAGTACTGTATTTTAGAGCCCTGTTCTGTATAAATTATTCTTCGCTAAAAAACGTGAACATGTTCTGTATTTTATTTAGTGTTCTGTATTTGTTCAGTATTTCGTTATTTTTCCAGTTTTACATAAAAACGCATAGAAAAACACGTAAGAAATACATAAATATTAAAAAATTCAGTCACAAATGTTGGTAATACAGTTTTTTTAAGATAATGCAACTTGTTAAATAAGCTTATTGTGTATTTCGGGAAAGGATCTAGTATGGCAGCATGACCAATTATAGACCGATCGTAAACAATTCTTAAAGTAACATTTCTAAATATAAAACATTTCAGTAAAATTTTTTATCTATATTGTTATTTGGTAATATAAATAACGCGTGTTTAAGTGATTTTCGGAAGGGGACCTTGTATGGAACCGATCGCACCCATATTATTAACCGATCGTGAAGAAAATCTTGAAATAGCTTTTTTTATACAAAGCTAATAATTGTGACAAGTTTTGTAAGGATGTCGTTATTTGGTAATAAGTAATGTGCGTTCAAGAGATTTTCGGAAGAGGACCTCGTATGGGAGCTATAACCAATTATGTGCCGTTCGTTTCACACAGGAAGGGCAACTTGGTCGTAGCTCAAAATTATGGACCGATCGAAAAAAATAACGGTATCTTTTCTGTGTATGAAAGTAATCTTTCTGA